ACCCAGATCTGCTTTCTTATAAAATGAAAAGTAGTCTTGAAGCAGGACGTAGGAATGGCATTCCATTTATTCTCCCTTCTAGTAGGAATTTCTGTCACCAGTGTCTTTCAGGATAACCATGGAGTAGGTGCCCTCACTCTCCACATTCAGGTGATGCAGCACATCACACAGAATCATTTGAAAATGAAGTTCAAAATTGTTTCCTCAATCCATTGAGTGTAGGGAACGCTCCATGAAACCCCAGGTATGGGCAGCTTAGACTGTATTACTATGTGGTGGTCGATAGTCAAGTGCTCAGTCTCTACTAGAGCCCAGTAGCAATCAAAAAGAAAAAAAGAAATGTTATCTAACAGAATGGGATATATTTGCTTAAAATCCTAATGTCTACTCAGTGATTCACCTATAGCGGCTGGCCAAATGTTCCATGCAGGACCTCCATTTGCCACAGATACTCCAAGCACCATTGGGTCTGCTGGGTATATAGGATGGAGCCCAAATGATAAAGCAGCTTGCACAGTAGCCTGAAACTGCTCCTGATCCTTCTCTTGTTCTGTGTCTGACTCAAAATTAGCAATCTTTTGAATTATTTGATCAATGGGTTGAAATAGACTATGTTGCCTCCAAAATCTAAAGAACCTCATTAGGCATTGTGGCTCTTTCTTAGTAATATAAGAGCAGAAACTTTCCAGCTGCCTTAGAAGGTATATCTTGACATGTTCCAGTCCACTGATACACTAGAAAAGTCTCCAGTGTGACTTTTGGTGACACAAGCCCCAGAATTTTGGGGGATATATTTCCATGTTGGTGTCACACAATTGTTAGAATACCTTCTATTTCCTGTTTACGTGGTTAAATCAAAATGACATCATCAGTGAAATAGAACTGTGGATCAGAGAGTTGGTCCAATTCCCTGTTGACTAGAATATGACATAGGTTTGGAAGGTTGATATAACTCTGAGTATACTACTGGTGCCAACAGATAAAAGCAGTAGAATTAGTTGCTGTAGAAAGTAAGGGATTCTCTGATCTTGGAATGTTTTTGCATAAGCTGAGTCTGCCTTGGTTGTGTTTTGGTGGAGTAGATTCCTGCAATAGGTAGGAGGCTAACCTAGATGTCCTTTAAGGTCCCTTCTAATCTCAATTTAAATGAAACCATGACGAGTGAGCAAAGAATGTTAAAGGAAAGAAAAGGAATTTCTGTGACGCATGCAGTAAGCATTAGATATGAGCAAGAAGGTGGTGAGTTAGAGAACTTGACCCCAATATATGTTCCATACATAGTGTAGCATTAGGATCTCTCATATATATCTAAACACATAAGAGTTAATTAAACTGGACCTATTATGTTCTCACCTCAAATTAACTCAGCAGCTATGATACACTGATTCTGATGTGCTTTTCCCTGGAAATGGAGATATTTGGAAAGAGCAGTGGACCAGAAATAGGAAATTGGGGGTTTTATAATATAATCCCAGTATTGCCAGGTATTCACCATCTGCTCTTTGAACAGTTTATTGCAAATTCTATTTGGCTTCACTAAAAAGGAGACTTGCAAGATTTTTACTAATAACATTTTATAATTGAGTATAAAATAGTTCATCAGGTAAAAGATCTAGACTCAGGAGCAACCTCATGTATTTGCCTCTCAGATTTCACAATGGTTGCAGCCCTAAAATGAAATATAATTCACTTATTTTTTTTTTTGGTCTTGGGGTTTGATACTAAAGCAAGGGTTTAGCGAAGGATATCATAATTCCTCTTTGTGGTGACAGAATTGTACTAAGGGGCTGCTGCTACAATTGAGTGGAATAAGATAAGTATTGATCAAGTCTCGGACACTCCTCAGGCCACAAATGGAGTTATTCCTGAACCTCTGAAGAACTGGTATCTCCAAGGAAATCAGGAGACCTGGCCCCCTACCTGCCTTAGGAGCACGTTGTGGGAGGTGCAGACCAAAGTTGAATTTACACATGAGTGACTAAAGTTTCCTGCCACTAAGCATAAGAAGTCACTCAAGAGCAGCGTCCCTAAACCACAGCTACAGGATGTGGGCACAAGCCCTTGTATAATTGTTGGCCAAGAGCCAATAAGTATTCATCCCTGTGCAAATACTGGGGCTTTTTTCTGGTTGTTGCTGTTAACCTTTGAAAACCACAGGCATTAGCCTCTCTCTTTCTTCCCCTTGGCACAGTCACCTTCTTTTCTTCAACTTGGTCTCTTATGTGCAAAGAATTTCTGAGGAGCTTTTAAAGCAAAATTTAATACTTTTGTCCTCCCCTCTCCTGCCCCACAACATACCAGGCAGAGGTAAACCCTACTTAAAAAAATATCTGCTGGCTGTGTTGGCTTCCGCAGTTTTGTTTGGGCTTTTTGATCAGAGAGGAAATCAGAGAGCTCTATGAGTGACCTTAGCCTTCAAGAAAATTCAGGTAATTTCTGGAAGTTCCCTCTACACAACAGTGATCCATTTTTTCCTCTCACCTCTGAATTAACCCAGCAACTAAGATACACTGATTTAGATGGCATGCCTTTCTCTGGGAATGGAGATATATGGAAAGGGCAGTAGATCAGGAAGAGGAAACTGGAAGCTTTACACTCTAATCCCAGTATTGCCAAAAACTCACCATATTCTTATTGAGCAATTTCTTCCCAATTTCTAGGCCTTTGCTCTGTGAAATAAAAGCTTTGGATTAGATGGTTCCTATGCTCCTTCAGCTCCACAGCCCTGAGCATTGGATTCCTTAGTAAGGTTTCAGTAAAGGCAATGAGAATGGGCCTCGAGGTAAAAGATCCCAAACTCATACATTGTCCCTTTTTTCTACTTTTGAGGCTGGCCAAATGTGGGAGGTAAGGGATAGTGATTCTTGACCATCCACTTTGTTGTAAATAGCATAGCATCAGTCAGCCCTGACTCTGTGCCCAATGTCCCACATCCTGATGTGGAAATCCAAGCTGAGCCTACTCCAGCATAAGAATATGATGCACACTGCGGCAGCCAACCAGCCCAATAGGGGCCCTGATCGGCCCCTCCCAACCTCCTGCGGTCCCTCCCCCTGGTCAGCCTGGCCCCCAATTGGCCCCCCCAACCCTGATTGGGGGCAGGGTCAGCTGGTCAACCTCCCACATCCCCTCCTGTCTGCCGACCCAGCCCTGATCAGCCCCAATCGGGGCAGGTGACCGGATCCCAACTGTGCACAAATTCATGCACCAGGCCTCTAATTTTTAAATAAAAGAGATGGCAGATGGACATTACAGGATCTAAGTAAACAGAAAGAGAAATTTCTAACCATCATAACTGGCCAAAATGTATTAGAGGACTGTGAGTAAGCTGTTAATAGAGATGGTCAAGAGATTTCTGAAAGGAGACTTCCTGGGATTTTCTAGTGGGAATTCCTGAATGGGATAAAGATCAGATAAAGAAGGTGGCCAACTATGACATTTGAATGATCATATGCTTCATATTAAATGACTTTTGTATCTAAACCTATTCCCAATCAAACCTATGATGTCCCTTTTGGAAACTTCATTGGTATAGTCCTGATGATAGTCTGAAGGAAAAGCCCAGGTGTCCATTAGGTCCTATGATTTGGGATGTTTGCTGAGGAGCCCAAGTGAGAACATCAAGTGTCACCAGACTAAAAGATGGCCAGTGGGTCTACCGTGACCAAGAAATCATTCTAAGGGAGAATTGAATTTAATGTTTTTGGATGTTACCCTACTTTCTGCTGCAAAAGTCACATCATTCTGCAGACAAGTACTCAATGCCTTTTCTTTAATGAAATAACTCACCTCATTCCATTAAGTCCTCATAAGACCTTTATGAAAAAAGCAGAGTTATTATTGCCTCCACTTTGCAGATGAGAAAATTAAACCTTAGGAAAATTAAAGTACTTTTCTAAGGTCTCACCTGACTGATTTAACTCTCTTCAAACAAAAAGGAGTTTAATTATCTAATCAATAGCAACAATGATCTGGAGGATGATAAAAAGCATAGGTTAAAGGATTACATCAATTGTCTCTTCAGCAATCCCTTTCACAATATTCACTTGATCTCTCTCTACTTAAACACATCAAGCGATAGGGGTCTCACTCTTTCTAGGAGCAACCCATTCTATTTTTGGACATTTCTAACTTTAAGAAGTTTATTCTTGTTTTACATTACTATCCAAATTCCTGTATTCTCTCATCCTCTGATCATAATCCTGCTTTCTAGGTCACATTTATTATTTTATAGCATATCTCTCAAGAGAGTCTTTGTGAAATGTGAAGACAGTTCTCCTGTTGTCATCTCTGAGTTCTGCATACTGAACAGCTTCAGTGAGATTAAATGCATATTCTATTGTTACAGACTGGATCTCAAGGCTCAGAGACATCTACCTCCTCTCATGTTTTCTGATTTAATTCCATTGACGAAGTTACAATGCGTCCTTTAGAAGGTCATTTGGGAACAGTCCAGCTTAGGTTACAAAGAGGACAACTATGCAGAGAGAAGTCAATTGTCAGGCTGATCCTTAAATGGTAACTGAAGAGAAAGGGCTGGACATTTCAGATGCTTCTGCCAACAAATGCCACTATCTTGAGGCAAATGGGGATTTTCAGACAACAGTGTCATAATAATTTGCCAATTATGAGGACTTCAGAACCACTGCCAAAATAATCCAACGACTTTTCTTTCCACTACTGTTGACAGGACAGCTAAAAATTTCAACATTTCCTTTTACAGTCTGAATAGAAGTCCCCTACCTTGGGGATTGTAACAATATTTGCTATCATGAGGGGGATGTGGGTGCTGGGAAGGGGGAGAAGAGGGAGGGAAATACTAATGGAAGTAAACAAAGATAAAATGAAATGAGGTTTATTCAAGGCTTGGGTTCTGAATACCTCCATTAAATTGATGTTTGTGAATGTATCGGAGGACAAATCTTAGGAATCGAGGAAGTAAATTTTTCAAAGACTTAAAAAATAGATACCACATAAGCAAAACACACACACACACAAAATATGCCTGAATTTTTTTTATTTGAATTCCTACCAAGGTTTCTCAACTTTGAGTCTTGGGACAGGTAAAAAGCTGATTATAATAATGTACCTGGTGTTCAACATTCAAAATGAATTAAAAATAAGGTAAAATTGGAATTTTGAAAAATACAAGAAACTCGAAGAATTGAGAAAAGATGAGATCATCTCTCAAGTTGTTCAAAATGAGACATAAGTCAAGAAAATACGAAGAGGAAATAAAATGAAAAAGAACAATGGGAACAAAATGAGTTAGGATGACCTCAAAAACCTTTGGGATCCATAAACATTCCACAGGGACCTCCCTCTGAGACCCCAAAAGAAGGAGACTAGTGGCATCACCACTTCTATTTTAATCATTGTAGCCCTACTTCTATCTGTTTTACATATTGGACACCCATTAGAACAAAAGGGCCTGCTATTAAAAAAAATGTTTGAACAAAAAATTACAAACAGAAATGAGCCATTAAAAATTCTTGAGCAGAGACTGATATGACCAAATTGTGCTTTATGAATCTGGCAACCAAGAGCAGATTGGATCAGAAGCCAGCCTTGAATTGAGGATCCCAATTAAAAGGCTATGACCTGTAAAAAAACAAAACAAAAAACAGACTATGGCCATTCTCCAAGTGAGCAGTGTTTAAAAATGTAAAAATGTTGATCTAATGATATACCTGTGGGGATGGAAAGGAGAAGTATATGTACAATTTTTAAAGAAGAATGAACAGTCTGACATCTGGGAATTGGGGTAGAATGCTAAGTCACATACAGATGTGGTACTTTTATGGCCTGAATGTTTGTGTCTCCCATCCCCCACCCCAAATTTCATATGTTGAAATCTTAAAGCCCTATGGTGGGGCCAGTAGGCAGTGATTAGGTCATGAGGGCAGATATTAATGCCCTTATAAAAGCGGCACAAGAGGACACCTTTGCCCCTTTGCCATATATAATGAAGTCTGCAACCTCAGGAGAGTCCCTCAGCTGACCATGCTGGCATCTTAATCTCAGACTTCCAGCCTCCAGAACTGTGACAAATAAATTTCAGTTGTTTATAAGCCATCCAATTTGTGGTATTTTGTTATAGTGGCCCAAACTGACTAAGACAGATACTATTTGGAATGTATTTGGCAAGGAGTTTAAAGAAATCAAAACTCATGGATTTCAAGAATAATGATTGGGTCCCTGAAAATGCCACAGAGAAATCCAGGCATTTGAAGATGTTGAATGTGAGAGGCCATTGGAACAGTGATAGAGATGATCAGCAGACACAAATGCAAAACTGAATCTTGAAGAAATATCAGGGATGAAAATGTGGATTTGGAAGTCACTCTCATAAGAAGGGTAGTTAATATAATACAGAGTACCCAATGAGAGAGAAGATCAGGATCAGAGGGCTAAAGATCAAGGCCTATAAAATGCCTTCATTTAAAGGAGAGAGGAACAAGAACCCAGAGCGTCTTCCCTGAGTTTATGATCAGGTATTCACTTGATAACATTATTTAATGGGTTTAGGAGAATTTATTTTCTCGTTTTAGGAAACTTGATTATCCTCACATAAGATCTGAAGGGCACCTCTATCAGTATAATCAAGATTTTAGATTTTCTAAGATACTAAATATTTAAAATCATGTAATACTATTTAAAAGTAGTTAATTATTTCAGTCCAAAAATATGGTGGGCTGAACCAGAATCTTCAATAATGATATATCTATGAATGATGTACTTATACATCAAAAAGACTCTCAAAAACCAATACTCCCACGGGCAAGGGAATAGCCAAGTTTGTTGCGGTTTCCAATGAATGACATCAGTCCCATGTAGGTCTCAATCAAAATGGGTTCAGTTAACACCATCAGTTCTTTTCCTCCTCCAGATCCACTTGAACTCTTGAGGGCATTCTGGATAGCTGGAACAAGCTTAGATATGAACCCAGACAGCTGAAGAGGAAAAGAAGGCACAGAGTTAGTGAATGCAGATTAGGTCCAGATGAACCCCTGCCCCAAACAGTTCTTACAAAAGTTGACCACTCTTGGGAGCTACAGTGATTCTTACTTTTTAAACAAGAATCATTTCTTAGAATTGTTAATGTTGCTTCTGTTAGTCTTTTAGTAAATTAATCACTAATTTATCACTAAGTAATTAATCACTTAACAAGTTATGTACATAAAAACATCTGCCTTATCTTGTTTATTTTTATTATTCACTAGAGGCTTGGTGCACAAATTCATGCACAGGGTCTGGCTGGCCCTGCCCAATCAGGGCCAATTTGGCTGGGCTGGTCAGAGGGAGGGGCTGTGGGCAGTTGACAGGCTGGCCCTGTCCCCTGGTCGAACTCCCGGTTCAACTCCCAGTTCAACTCCCAGTTGAGGGGACAACTTGTATGTTAGCCTTTTATTATATAGGATAATTTGTGCAACATTAAGAAGTCAGTTTAACCCATATTTTCTGATAGTCTATTATGAATCAGATACCTGTTGGGTGCTTCTAAAAATTTAAAAACAAAGAAGATATAGTCTCTGCCCTTAAACAAGTGATACAATAATAATCTAAAAAATGAGTTTGGAGGTCACTTCAGCAGTCCAGGCAAGAGATGATGGTGGCTTGGACCAGATAACAGTTAAGAACATGAGAACTGGTTGAATTGTGGATATTCTTCAAAGTAGAGCCATAGTACTTGCTGATATCATTGAATATAGGAGGTGAAGAGAGAATAGAGGAATCAAAGAGGACATATAGCATTTTGGTCTATCAATTGAGTAGGTAGTACTATCATTACTGAGTTGGAGAAGCCTGCAGGAGTAGGGGTTGGAGGTGGAGAGTGCTCAAGGATTCTGTTTTAGATGTGCTTTTGAAGTGTTTAACCAGTAAACCCTTTAGAGATTTACAATAGCCAGCTGGATACTTGAGCCTAAAGCATGAAGAAATATGCAGATGAAAAGTCCATGTCTATAGTTAAAAATTTCATAACAATGATTATAGATCCAGAAGTCAAGAACAATATCCATAAGTGAAGTTAGTAGCCTAAACAAGATAGGATAAAGGGTAGGGTTTAGAAATAGACAAAGTCAATGAACTTTTGTTGGAAAATATGCTCAGCACTGGGGACAATGCAAAGGAGTCTAATAGGTAAACTGAGGGCCCAAGAGTTCTAGAGATTTATCAAATGCCAAATAGTTAGAAAGCAGCTGAGAAAGGTTTTGGAATCAGGTCACCTAACTTAAGTCCTAAAGCCCTCTCTCCTATAAAACACTGTTATTAATAGCAATAAAATTCTAATGTTTAGGCAAGAATTTATGTTCCTTATTTTCTAAAGGTAGAGAGAAAAATATCAGACTAAATAATTTTCAAACCACACTCCTTAGAACACTGGATTCCCTTACTGAGTGGTGACAATATAGTTTATCATAAAACCAGGATTATTTTGAGAAAAAAGGAAGTTCTCTTATTAATAATGTTGGGACAGAAATTCCTGAGGGTTTGGGGAGAGAGTGTGGAAGAAAAGAAGCCAAGCAGGTAACCTGCTTAAATTCCTACAATAGAATCAATTAGACCTGCTCTGTTTTTATTAGTTTTATATATTTGGGGTCTAAATAAGATTTTATTTTAAAATGATTTTTGCCTTTTAAAAAAATAGAGTACTAATCTTGCCTAGGAACCTCTAGCTCTGGCTATTCCATCCACAACATCTATAGTACCCACATTTCTATTCATCATAAAAACCAAGCTTAAATGCTATCTTGCCCACAATGCTTTCCCACATACTCATGGCAAAAGTTATTTTTTATTCTATTATATTTTACTTATACCTCCACTCAAATATTTCATCCAATTTGCTAAGAACTAGAATAACAAGCATGTATGTCTGTCTATACAACTAAACCAAGGTTTCTCTACCTTGAGACCATTGCTATTTAGGGCCAGGTAACTCTTTGCTTAAGGTGAGGATACTCTATTTTATAAAGTTAAAAAGAATCCTTAGCCTCCACTCACTAGATCCCAATGGCACCCCACGCCAGGTATGACAACCAAAATTGTCTCCACACATTGTCCAAATTCCCCTGGGGGCAAAATCATCCCCTGTTGAGAACCACTAACCTAAAGAAAGTATAGCATGATGCAATGTGAGTATTGAAATCAAATAGATCTGGTCTTAAGTTATAAATATGGCAATCACTAGCAGTGTTAATTTTTATAGACCCTCTCTGAAATTTTTAGTATCTTTTCTATAAAATAAGGCTACTAATAGGATCAAACTCATAATTTGTAAGGATTAAACTAACTGAAATAAAGGGTTTGTATATAAGCTCTTTGTGGGTGTACACATGTGCTCATGCATTTCAGGAAGGGTTGGGGAAGTAAAATGTGATGAGGCTAAAATTTGGAATCATATTGGAAAGGGCCATAAAGGAAGTCTACAGCTAATAACCAATAAACATTGTCAAACCATTGTCATCATCATCATTATCATCATCATCAAATTATGATTTCTTAAATACCAAAGTACAATCCACCTCAACATTTCCATTGCCAGTACCCTCTGGATAGTCAATATGCCTTTTTATACATTAAGAAATGTTTGTCAAATGAGATTACTAAGTGCCTCCCCAGTCCTCATCATAAGCTTCATTGCATGAGAATCCTTTGTGGCCTCAGAATCTAAGCGCTGTAAAGAAAAAGATGACACTATTTTATACTCAGTGAACTTGACAAAGAGCCAGATGCACTTTATTTGTAGTCATTTCTATGAACCCTCTAAAAGGAGGAGGGGCCTGGAAAACAGAACAAGCAGTACATTGAAGGGGAGGCAGATAAAAGGCCAAGTCCCCAAGCTGCCTTTTGAGTGTTTCAAGCCCCCGAACTCAATCTGTGTGACAAAAACACAGTGTCATCTGATATGAAAGCCACCAGCCACATACTTTCCTCTAAAAGCTTTTATACACCCACCCCTGCCTCCTTCTTTTATTCCAGTCTCAAAAACATGGGGTCAAATTTTAACAACTCCGATTACATAGGGGCTATGTGTTGGTAGGATAAGGTATAGCAGTGTGTGTGTGTGTGTGTGTATGTGTGTGTGTGTTGGGTGGGGAGTGTTGAATGTTTTTGACTTTACAACTATTATTTACCAGCTTACCAGCTGAGTGACTGGGCACCTGGTTCGCTTCAGGTGCTGTCTGCCAGCAGTCCACTGCCCAGAGTCTCAGTTTTCCTTATTACAACCATCCTTTGCTTCCTGTTTACACTGGGTAAAGAGACATGGTTTCATGCCTGCACTCCCACATTCCTCAGCTGAGCAGGTTTTCCAAGCCTGCAGGCTATAAGTTTCAGTCTCCCTATGTAGAAAGTGAAGCATGCTGGGATACAGAGTAAGTCCATCCAATACCCAACACTGGAAACCACTTGGGAAGTTACACAGCTGGACAAAATGTCTATATCTTTCTTGCACATTTTACTTGGACCTATTGTTATGGAGACACTGTGACTAGAGTATGCCCAGGTATGTAGAGAGAAAAGGAGGATGAGGCAGAAGTTCCTTTCCTAAAAAAGTGAGGTCTGTACACATTCTAATTTGCATACTCATCCTATTTCATTCCTTCAACCTTCCCATCAACACACACCCACTTTAAACTCGAGCTAAAACAAACTACTCTTTATCCAAGAACATTTCATATACCTTTCTAATTTTCAGCTTCTAACCATGTTTCTTTTACTTAAAATGTCTTCCCCACCTTCTTTGATGCTTAAATCACTCACCTTGAGATGTATATCAAATATTATGTCACCTGTTAACTTTTGGATTTACCTGTTCCCTCTTCTGAACTCCTATAAAACCTTGGGAATTTCTCTATAAACAGTCTTAGCACATTCAGTTATAATTTGTTAATTCCTTTTTTTTTAACCTTCTTTCTTTCTACTATAAGTATCTGGAGGGCAAAATTTGTTTTGTTCTTATTGGGGCTAAGGATAAAAGTCACATTTAATTGCTAAAATATTGATTCACTTTCATAATTTCCTTACAATGAAAGGTCAAGATGTCAGAAAAAGAATAAAAAGAAAATGCAATCACTTTAATTTGGCTGTAAAGCTTCCCTGATCCATTCACTATTATTCACCAGCACTGGGCTCTCACTAGTCACTCAGAGCAAGACTCTCCACACACTACAAAAACCCAGCCAGGCAATAGTTACAAGAGGGGAGATAAAACTACAAGTTACAAATGTTAAGTTAATCAAACAATGGAGTATAGTTTAGCCTGGTCATAATGTATAATGTTTTATATTATATTATATTATATTATATTATATTATATTATATTATATTATATTATATTATATTATACTAGAGGCCCGGTGCACAAAAATTTATGCACTCAGGGGGGAAGGGGGGGGGGGTCCCTCAGCCCAGCCTGTGCCCTCTCACAGTCTGGGACCCCTCGGGAGATAACAACCTGCTGGCTTAGGCCTGCTCCTGGGAGACAGAGGGCAGACCCAATCCCTAGATGCAGCCCCTGGTCGGGCTCAGAGCAGGGCTGATTGGGGAGTTGGGGCGCCGCCCCCTGTCATGCACAGAGCAGGGCGGATCGGGAGGTTGCAATGCCACCCCTAGTCATGCTCAGGGTAGGGTCGATTGGGGGGTTGGGGCACCGCCTTCTGTCACACTCAAGGCAGGGTTGATGGGGAGGTTGCGGCGCCACCCCCTGTCACGCACAGAGCAGGGCCCATCAGGGGGGTTGGGGCTCCATACCCTGTCACACACAGAGAAGGGTGGATCAGGGGGTTGGGCACCGCCCTCTATCACCCACAGAGCAGGGCCCATCAGGGGGTTGAGGAGCCCCACCCTGTCACTCACAGAGTAGGGCCAATAGGGGAGTTAGGGCACCGCCCCCTGTCACACACACAGCAGGGTGGATCAGGGGGTTGGGGCTCCGCCCTCTATCACC